GGCATTCCCATTTGACAATTGAATGGGCATTCTTTCTCCACACTATCCTAACAACTTCTAGTCTTCAAAACGTATGAGGAGCGCACCTTAAAAAACTCCCGACTTACTGTTGGAACGTATTGAATAACTGAATGCCAACTTGATCGCTAGTTCAGTTGCGCTTTCGTATCGATTCGAGCAATCATGGACAACATATGTAATGGAATGCAATCGTTTTTTACCTCGGACGTAGCATTTGTTTGGTATAAAATACGATATGCCAGGTAGGAGGGTTTTTGAGCTCCGTGGGACGAAGTCTGACGGATCAAAAGTGTTGCTAAAGTCAAGTGCGTTTTGGTGCAGCTGTGAGCGAATTTCTTTGTTCTAATGGTCCATTCCCCAAGAATTAATACGATGCAAATTTGCGTGCTATTGATCGTTCTACTGATTCATCCCACACAGGTCCCCCCGATTCTATGAGGCTGACAATTTATTCGGTTTGTATTTTGATATTTGCCTAAATGCGCTAATTTGGAGCGCTAATTTACACGAGTAGTATCGGTTCCATGAAACAATAAAATAATCAAATGGTGATGGGTTTATTACATCTGCTTCGGGGTCAGAAGGCATGTCGTTGTGCAGCCTACCGTCGAAGTTTTGTCGGGGGTGGATGGATGGGCAACCAGATTACTTCGGAGAATACAACTGTCTGTTTGATAGTCGCGTAGTGTGTGTGGCTTAATCACTGCTGTTCACTGATACCTTCACAAGGGATTTGGTAGACCAGGGAAGAAGTTATATGCATCATTACAAAGAGAGGCAAACAAAGGTGTAGTGATACCAAAAAGAAAACATCTAATTCGTGAGTAGTTTCTTTTCAACTGACCTGTTGAGATTATTATTTATCAGAACTAAATATTTAGCGAATCCACACACATATGCACACGCACGCACACACACACACACACACACACATAACACACACACAGAGTGTAATTCATATTGAATAAAGCAGAATATGCTGATTTACTTTTTCGAGTGATCGAATCGCAACTTAATTGGTTCTGAGCGTTCTGAGCGATAACTTCATTCGTTTCAGTTGACCAGTGTGTTCTGTTCGGTCCCAACAACTGACCGCGTTGGCCGTTTCAATTAATCAACCAATAAAAAGTAAAAAACCAATAAATTTTCTTCACGAGAACAATACTGTGATTTGGATGTTTGTGTGTTTGTGATGAGCATGTGAAACACTATTAATTAATGTATCCCTTCATTCAATCTCTTGCCCCTCGACCCCCTTGGCTCCCAGGCAAGGGTTTCTGCTTCTTATACGAATCGAAACCCGGCCCGTGGGAGCATCATTATATTTCCCATTGCTAACGAGTTTGAATAAGGACGAAACCATCGTCCATCCCTGTACAACTCGTCATCGCAAAGTTTAAGAAAAACAACGATTTGAGTAGAAAATGTTAAACCATTTGTTCTTTGGAAATAAAATCACTTTTTCAGTCAATTTGCACACGTCAAATGATCGGGGGTGGGGGTGGAGGCTTTCAAATGAATTGTCTTTTCATGAATACATACACAATGTTAAAAATCTGATGATGTTTGAGAAGGCACGTGAGTGAATTTGGTGTGTTTCTATCTGTATGTGTGCGCCCGCCTGCTTGTATACCAGTTTGTGGTTATGTGAGCTGGGTTGCGATGAAGATAGTGGCGAGCGTGACTGGCAGAGTTCCATGTGAGTTGGGCAATGCCCCGTAAATACCGGAGGTACGGTTTGATGTCATGGATTTATCACTCGAATCCGTTCCGACATTCAAGGCCATTTCGGATTGAGTGTCGTCGGTTTCCTGATCTGTTCGTGTGTGGTTCGATGTAAGGCCAGTGTGCGCGATTGGCAAAAACCTTTTCCACATACTTCACAGGGAAAAGGCTTTCGGGTGCTGTGAGTGAATCTGTCAGTGGAAAGGGGTGTCCGAAACTAGCGGTTAGTACAAATTGTAATATTCATGATAACAATATAAAAACATTTCAAAATAAATGCATAGTACATCCCCGGGACAAAGTAACAGTCATTTTCCCGAATGAAGGGACAGTCAAATCTCTCTCATGGCTTGCTATTTCACAGAGAGGGTCCAGTGCACCAAATTAGGAAAGAGGATATCAAAACCTCTTCTCAATAATTTTGGTGTTCTTTAAGGTGATGTTCTATCTCCATATCTTTTTTCTGCCTTTCTTAGTGATCTTTCGGTCCCCCCCCTTCGCACATTCAAAAGTATGCTGATGCCGTTGTTTTGTGTCAGACAGTTTCATCTCCTTCGGAATTTCATTATTTTACTGAAATTCTATCCCACATGCAACAGTTTTCTGATCAAACTGGTCTCGGTCTTAACATATCTAAGTGCGTAGAGGGTATTTTCAGTATTTCACGCTCATTTCCAACGGACTCGGCTTCCCTTAACGGTAAACCTGTATTCAGAATGACCTCAGTCAAGTACCTGGATGTCACCATCGACAGCAATGTTCATTGGTTTACACACGGGAAAACTGAGACGCCTATCCTTTCAGTTACGCAAACTCAGGCAATTCCGAATTCCACGATCAGTTCTGTCATCTTTCATTCATCAATGCGTTTTACCCATTCTACTCTATTGTCCCCCTCTAGTGTTTCCCGGTCTTTTAACACAAGACTTTAAGATAATTCGCAGTGGTTTGATGATAATCAGTCGTGCATCTTTAATCCCAGTTGATTCATTAATCACAGAACTCATTGATGGTCACATCAACTCTTGTGTTAAATTTGCCCTTGAGATTTTAGATGACCCTCTTCATCCACTACACCCTGATCTATCGTCTTGTCGTTCCCATCGGTCCGCACGCTCTTCATTTCGGCATCTACCTTCTCGCATTAACATTTATAAAAATTCCTCTGTACCCTACCTGGCCCGACTCTTAATCAAAAAGGAACAGGTTGGAAGTGAACTACGTTAAAAGTTTTGTCCGTGAAACAAATATCACCAACAATCTTTATATTTCCTTATCATTATTATTAGTATTACTATTTCATTCCGCGTGACGATTAGTGTATATTTTTTAACTGAAATGTAAGCATATGTGCTTACACAAGTCACATGCAATAATTCAGCATTTTACTTGCAGGCCAATCTACATATTTATTTATTCAGGTGAATTCCTCATACCGACTGTACACAGTTTTCAGGCATCCTTAACAAAGTGCATCAACCATCGATGCAACACCACAGATTTCTTAGTCGGAATTGATGTGCGTCATTGTTCCATCTTATCTTATCTTATTATATCTTAAATTGAAACAAAATTGTCCTAATCGGCGATTAGCGGTTGCCTAATCTATTACATAGCTAAACTATTAGTTAAGGTTAAAACCGGAGCAAATTATTGTTTAGGAACACTCAGAATTGCTTACCATCACTCGTAGATTAGGGAATCGGGCATAAATGTGATCATAGGTTTTATTTTTCATTGTTCTTTAGTTCAGTGGGATGGCATTTAATGGTCCTCAGTCGGAAAACAACGGGACACCACAATATATGGATCGGTGTACATTTTACGCGTGGACTAACCGACAGAATGAACATGTACGCATCAGCTAACCGGACAGTTAGCCAGATAAGGAGAAAAATTAATTAGGTTCAAGCACCAAAATCCGAGAATAAAAAGGAATTGCATAACTGAGGAAGGGGAAGGGATGAGTCTGGTGAGTAAAATGAAAACATTCCATGACCACGTGCCTTTCCCATGTAAAAATGTAGCCGCACGCTCCCCACGGACTAGGTTTAATCGAAACTGAATCAACGGATCCCTGTGGAACACTTGTGGGTTCATATAGGCAACAGCATTTATACTGAAGTAAATTTTTCTTTTCAAATAATAATAAACAAGCCTTAGTGTGTCTTTATAGCAGTGATTGTCCTGATTCGCCTAAACTCAGCAGATTGAATGGTTCCGGGTGTAGCGGATACCCCATTTTGTCAGTAATGGTTGACCTACACCATGATGAGTTAAGAGGTAACTAAAGAGAATAAAACAGTTTTTATTTACAACAACTTAACACTGATAATAATTAGGATGTGAAGTTTGTGTACACTAGTAGTCGATTCGTCTGCCTTTGTTCTTTAGGACTTTTTCGAGTCTCTTCAGCAACGAATCCACGAACGTTGTTATCCAGTCATTTTCTATTTTGTGCTCCATTACTTATCGCACTTTTGTTTCCAATGTCTAATTCTTGAGTCACTCTTATTGGAATATATTACTTTTTCATATTTGATAAAGTTTGGGATTTTCATGTTGTGATTATTCAATCTTGGCAACCCAGGTCAGCCACGTTTAGTTGACAATCATGCAGCGTAGACACTACGTAGACCGAAGTAGGCAAGAGATGAATTATTGTCCATACCTAAAGCATTAATATAGATGATAAATATAATGAAACTGAATTTGATCAGAAAGAAAATATTTTAATGTATCACAATCGGCCAGTACTCTAGGTCTCTTCTTCTACTAGTTTATTGTATTCCCAATTAATGAATTGTATCAATATGTGGAATAGACTTTATCAATCTAACTCATAATGTTCCTTTTGAAATTCTGTATTACACCCTGATTTCGATGAGCTCATCAAGTACCCACGCAACAATCACATCAGTTGAATGTGGCATGTTATCGATCGATCAGTTCGTGGGTGGAGAGTACAATATTTGCACCCCACCCGCGCCCCCTCACCCTTCTAATTTACCGATTTTGATCATTAGTCACTGTGTCTTCGATAGACTTACCGATGGTCGCGCAGATGATCTTGTCTGCGGAACGCCTTGCCACACACATCACACGGGAACGGTCGTTCATTCGTATGAGTTCGTTCGTGGATTAGCAAATTGTATGATTTTGTAAATTGACGTAAACAAAATCGACAGATATATTGTTTTCGAGGTCTGTAAACAGATAAAAATTGTTCGTACACATTGATGACTTTATTAGTACAAGAGAATAAGTTTCGTTTATAGCAAAACAGCACATGAAACATTACAAATCCTGTGTATTACTACTGGAAACTAATTATGAGTAATAGTAGTTATCCATAGATTTCATTCGTCAACTTTTCTTAGCTCATAAAAAAGACCTCTGATCACCATCTTCGCTTCTTATGATGAAGCGGATGGCGGTTCGACCAATTTTCCGGAAGAAGATCACATTGGTGACCTTCGGATTGCTGTGACACAAAAACATCCATTGAGTTGGTGATACTGAAGCCAGAACAGCTTCGTCATTCAGTGAATACGCAGATTGAACTGAAAGCACCTGAGATATTGCCCTTTCCGCAGCCTCAAACAAGGAATATCTGGAGGCATCCTAGGAACCCGAGTGCTCACCCCAGGAGTAAATGGTAAAAGCAGCTAAATGCAGAAACGGATAGAGAAGATAATCACATCTGTTGATCGAACGATCTGATCTACAATTCATTCAAGATTATTTGCTCAAATGAGTCCTGGTCGGAGATCTTTTTCTCCCCACTATCACATCAACCAGTGAGTGCGCGGGACATTCAGAGGCCTCCGAAATACGTGTCATAAAAACTCTTCAAAGATATACAATCCGATCACCGGGTACAAAACTTTCCGAGCGCGAAATAAGGCCGTCCCAGTAATAGGAACGAATGGTTTAGGCTTTATAATCACGGTTACCAAGGTCATCACATCATGATTCGTAACGAAACACCTATGTCACTCAGCATAGACATGAGACAAAAAGGTAAGCATCTGTAACATGATTTGCCACAGCTTGCTCAAATCAGCACATGTCTATGGACAATTTCAAATGCGAAACTTCAGCCAAAATAAGAAGCTCGGAACAGAGAGTAAGAGAGACCAACGGCTTATTTGTACCAACATGGATGACAACGATGAGCGAACAATTGGATTTCACATTGTTCAGCATTGTCATGCCACATCACTTTCGGGAAAATTTCGCGCATGGTTCCCTTTTCCTAAGATACAAGGCAAAGTCGCAGGTCCTGAGTTACCCATCCCCTTCACAATTGCAAGTATGAATCCATAGGCGTGATCAAATATGGTCATTGTCATCGACGTGGTCCGGACTGAAAGCTCAAACTCCACCACCATCACCCATTTTTTTATTTGTAGTTTAATTTATTCTCGTCCGGTTGCATACCACAACTATATTACTGTGTGTGGTCTTCGCTACTCCAATTCCCAGCGCTCAGATCTCCGATTCCTACAGTCGGACATCAAATCTTCTTGACTATGAACTCTACCCAATCTATTATCTATCAAGATACGTTTTGTTAGCAAAATTAATGGGGAATGCGTTCTTGTTAAGGGGGACTTACCGTCGACGTGTGCTCGGGACAACCTTATCTTTCTTGTTCTTTGGTATACTGTCCAATTTGGTTTTCAGTCTGAAAGCGAAAATAAGCATGACAGATATAGTAAATATTATTCGAAATCCATTAACATCCAACAACCGCAACACCTGGGGTCAACCCCCGAGGGGACTAATGGAATCTATGCGTGTTTCATACATTGGATTTAACGTATCTAACAAAGTGGATTTGTATATATCATTCTGTGGACTGACCTGGACTAAATTCATGGTAAATCTGGGTAAATATTCAAGTGATTTTTTGTGCAAATCTGAGCCACATTATTCAAAGCCACTCCAATTTTATTTGAATCACTATGGATTCGGTCGTTAGAAAGAACATCTAGACTAATGCTTGGATGATGAAACTTCCGGTTACCAGACTAAGAAGAATGGAAGAACAGCCAGTCCGTTGGTTACAGGAGAGTAGTTAGTATAGGACTTCATTCAACCGTATGGTGAATTTGGCCTTGTGAAACCATTAAACCCACCTGAGTATCGAACCCGCTGGTATCTCACAGATAGAACGCATACATACTACCCACATGACTTGTACTGTTGCTGAGACCCAAACCCAGTCGAAAAAGCTATCATTGGCTTCCTAGGTTTTCGGTTCCCGTTTCGTTAGCTCCCTATACGAAGAACTTCATTTACGAGCTGCTCGATCCCTTCTTCTCTTGAACTGTGCGAATCCAGGCAATGTGTGGGGAATTGGGTGGAGACGGAATCAGAGTAAACATTATGCTTCCATTCATTACTGTTTTGTTACACTTCATTGATCCATGTACTACAACAAGCTTTCATCGACTGTTCCTATCTGGTTCACAGTAGACTACTAACTGAAAATAACTTTCTCCAAAACTCACTACTTTCAAACATTCGATATGCTTTGATCAGTCAGATATTCTAACTTCCTCCATTTCTTATGGTGTATCTGACTGGCTGCCTCCTGTCTAACCCACAACTGTATCCATCTATATTCTAATAGAAAGAAGTAAAATGAAAGATAAAGATAATCTGTTGTAAACACATTCGGTTATCGATGCAACTGAAACAAATCCACATAATTTGGTTGACAACTGCATATGCCAAATCGAATTCTTCATTGAAAAGTGTATATTCATAATTCAGTCTGATCAGGCGACAATCGTAGTCATAAGGTGGGTTGGAACAGCACGCGGAATATACATACCTCTTGAGTCATTCTTCTCAAACTCCAGGGTCGGCAGTGTGTGGGTGGTGATGGTCATGATGATGATTCGGATGACTCGGATGGTGATAGTTAACCGGCTTTAAGTTATTGTTACTCTGGAGTTCGTCTGGAGTCTTAATTACGAAATTTGAACCCCACCACAAACACCCGACTTTGAGGGTAGGCAACTTCACCTAAATCTGGTTTAGTATTATCCTGTTTAGATCTTCCCTTGATCAGTTACTCCAAGTCTATGATGTTATGGGCTTTGGTCCCTAAATGTGAGCATTAAGTTTTCTTGAGTAGGGATTTTACTGTTCAACACACAATGGCATGCATAATAATGACAAGTGTACAAATGATTTGAATATCCTATTATATAGTGAAGTTTCCCGTGCGCAGAGCGAATGAAGAGTAAACCGAAAAGTTGAGAAGCCCTGGACAGGTGTTTCGACCTGAATAGCTTACATCGGAGCATCGCGAATCCGTCTACCCAACTGAGGATCGCGAACCCCAGACCCTACCATAAGTTGAAAACAAGCATACTAATCACTCGACCACCGGGAAGCTGATCAGGCCGACCACTTTATTATTTTACCTACACACGACAATAACACCACTTAGTTTGCATCCAGAGTGGAGTCGGCTACTACAAGATTGTACACATCAGAACTGAATACAATTGTATCCTATGCATATATCGGTCCAGTAGCAGAACATTCCCATTATTAGCCCACTTTGAGTAGGCGTATACAATACAATAAGACAAGTGCTGGCAATCCACACATCAATTTCTGCGAACGGGCTGGGCACAGATCTAGCAAACGACCTCACCGGAGCAACTTTGTGGCAAATTTGTAAGATTGATGAGATTCCTCGAAGCCTCCTTGAAGCCTCTGACCTTGTCCTAATATCCTGGTGATTGCAAAGAGTGGGGGAGACACCAAGAGGCAGAGCACTGTTTGAAGGAATGTAAACACACCAGTCAGAAGAGATTGATTTATCCCCGATAAAAGAGTCGAAAAATATCGCGTGGCGAATCATCAGTCCAAGTACTGGTTCGTCACACTTACCGCTGCATAGATCGGACGGTCACGGGAATAGGCTTGTCCAGGACACTGAAATTTCCATTCGCATCGGGTCGGTGACCCCGTTCATCTCGTTCATTGTCCGATTCTAAACAGGACTGGACCAGATTTTTGAAATCGAATCCTGCGAAACGAAACCAAGAGATCAAAGAGTTGTAGAGATGATCTTAGCGGAGAAAAGAATAACAACACACACTGGCATCCGACACTTACATACAATCAGTTGTGGATCTTTATCGCTCGTCAGTAAGCAAACTGTCCATTGAGTAACATTCAAGATTGATACTCAAAGACTACTAAGTATGATCATGTATGACTGGGTCACTAACTAACTGACAGTCAGTCATACACTTGAAGTATTTAAGCCTGACTAGCGGGATGTTTAGTGTTAACCAAAGATTTGATCGTGTTTGTTTGTTACACCCTTGAAAAGTTTGATCTGGTGTAACCAACTATTCGGAACGCATCCATTTCCAATGAATTTCGCCGGTTCGCGTATCACTGTTTTCTATAGCTTCTGCCTATAAATATACGACTTCCTGGTTAGGTGAAAACCATGGTGTTTGTATTTTGGTAAATGCGTACATCACTTTTCCCTTTTACCTATAGTCTGATTATGCTCGGTCTTCCAGTTTTGTCAACCCTATCCATCCCCGACAAAAGTTTTATCACCACTAGTTGTGACTTGTGAAGAAACCGATGGTATCCATTCGGTGGGATAGGAACAGTTTCAATCGAATTTTGCCTACACCAGGAGATGAAAGATCAAAATGCAGGACGTTGTCTAATCGAGGGTGTCCAGCACATAAGGTATCGGACGAAATAGACATCAGTCTTGATTAGTTCTTCATGAGAAAATGTTACATACAGAATTGTGATCTCGAATCTTTCCACTGAACTCACCTTTCGCGCCCTCCACATTGCGGACTCGTGAAGCCACCGTGGAACGAGGCCCGACTGTTGGCACGGGTTTCGATGAGAATGCCGGACCACCACCACGACCACCACCACCCCCGCCTAGATCGGATTTCGAATTGATCGTTGTCAGTGTCGTGGGGATACGATTACGATTTCCGTTCAACCGATTCATCTCAGACGATCGTGTGGGGGGAATCCGCGGAAACGGTTGGAATGCACTGGTCATCGAGGCAAACGATTTGGCCGACTGTGTCAATTGTTGTGTCAGTGCGGTTAGACTGAGCAATGGCGGATCGGTCGTTCGCGGTCTCACTTCCGTCTGGAATGATTCGCATCGCATGTTTTGGCTCAAATTCATGTTCGGGACTCGTGGACTGGTCGTCGGGGTATTGGAAATAGGCGGGAGTGAACAGGTGGACGGAGAAGAATTGGGATAGGCGCTGGCAGACAAATTATTCTGGATTGTAGGTGATGATCCGAGTGAGACGCGTGGTTCTGTAACGGATTGATAAAATGAATCAAATTCGCGCTGTTCCGTTTGTCGTCGTGTATGTGTAATGTACAGATTGTTCGGATAAAAACGGGGCTCATTTGTCGGATGAGGGCGATTCTCTGGTGCCACATGAAACCCCACAGGTCCAGTCATTTCAGTTCGATTTGGAGGGGATCGATTTTTTTCACCATTCGAAACCATACCACTGGCGGCGGTCCGTAACCATGTGAGCAGCATAGACAGATAGAATGGATTGAAGCAGTTCGGAATCTGTGTCGGTGCGGTGGGATAGACGGGAGTTCTCGCAGTCATGTGTGACAGCATACTCTCAGCTGAGGAGGATGCACTTTGTGGAGCTGAAATGCGAATAAGGGTAATAAACACACACAAAAACTATGAGAATGATGCATCCTTTGGTTTAGAATACGCCTGAAACTACACACCACGCATCACCAGTATTTGCATTACCTCCTTAGTCACCGTCTCGGGTACAACCTGGTGAAGTGTTTGTTTAGGATATCTGTTCATAAATGACCTCTTTATTATTCTAATTTAGATACATCAATAATCCTACTTAGTAAGTCAAATTCGAACGTATATATTCCATTCCTTCTATTCTGGTCCCATGGGGAGCTGAATAGTTTGAGAAGTAACGCATCATGGATTTTCGCACTCAACCGGTTCGAACGGAATAGCTCGTCGTCTCCCGGCTCCATTGTAAAAGACATGCGTCTCGTGGGCCTGTTTAGCTGTTCTCATTTCGGCATACCACGTATCACACGTTACTCCAGAAAATCATTGTTGTACATCAGCGCTAGTCAATCGTTGGATTTTTTACTCTCGGACCCCTTTCTCGTAAGTACTGATTAGTTGGTTTCGCGGTGGAAGTCATCTTGACTGCCAGGATTGTGCCAAAAGGTGGCATCTCTATTACCACAATGCTTCGAGGATGCACCCCTAAGCCTGCTACCAGGCCAGCACGAGGGTGATGACGGCAGTTGCAAACTTATTTTCCGTTCATACACATCTTTGAGTAATGAACAGCAAACGCTGGTGATCCATTTTTCACGAGGACCTACCCTACTATCATAGAAACTGGCGACCTAAGACTCGAGACTTGAAGTAGAGAACCGCCTAAGGCCTGAGGTACACGTGGTAGCGAGCTAATGATAACAGAAAAGCTGCTCATCACAGCATATCGAGATCGCTTTTTGTTACGGAGAAATGGTTTGCTAAGAGAAAACCTCTCCTAGTTCTCGAACATTACCGCTGTCTACGGGCAACCACTTATTCAGTGAAACAACGCCTACCTAAATGACATTTCTCCTCACTGCGATCTGAAGACTCTCTCTCGGTAGGGAATAGCTTCACTGGTGGTTGGATTTCAGTATCCTGCCACCATACAATCGTAATGAATTAAACTATTGTACACTAAAAGTACCATACAAAAAATGAATCACAGATACCCGTTAGTAATTAAGATCAACTTGCGTACGCTTTGTTTTTACAGATACTTCGTAACATTTATTCCGTGAGTGGATTGGATTTATGAATCAATACATTTTACCCGAGGATAATATTGATGTTTGGAATCGAACGCAACAATCAGTGGTCGTAAACTGCCCTGGTAAACATGTTAAAGGAGAGTTTCAATTTGTATACTTTGCGTGATTGATTGCTTTCATTGTGTGCCTGTGTTTCGTATGTTCCTGATCAGCCTGTTGCTGATCAGTGATAATCGGTACGTTCCATTCGGAAAGATGCTCGTCGAGATTAGATCGAATTACGAATTTAGTGTCGTAAATCCCCAAACTTGTCACTCGTCTGAAAAGTGAGCTGTCTTTGACTGTGACTCATTCCAACTCCCAGTCTTATGTGAAGCCTACACAAATTCATTTGACTTAACTAAACCCACCAGATTCCACTCAGTCAACGAACTGACACAACCACTTCTCTGACACATCCGGTAGATCCGATTTGGTGTGTACAGTCAACTTCCGGTGAATTATTATCTTCCACGAGCTATTGTTGTTACATGGTAAGATCACATGCTGATGTCTACCCAGTGTCCCCTGTCCTCCGGATTGATAAACTAGTGTAATCTCCTCTTTTTGAACAATTACAAATAGTTCTGAAGCAGAACCTGATTGGCAATGCGTATTACTAGTGGTGTTTTGTTTGAGCAGCTAAGATTAAGAAAATACAGATGCACTTGTATGTGTGCGTATATATATTTATGTCTGTATATTTGCGCAGATGTTCAACAACAACAACAACAGCAGCAGCAGCAGCGGCGGCGGCAACAGCGGCAACAGGCCAGTGCGCGAAATGAGTACAGTCACGTGAGGTGGGTAAACAATACGTGTGTGTGTGTGTGTACAATATTGCTCACATTCAAGGGAGTAAGAACAATGTTGGTGTAAGCATGCATCGATTTGTCGACCATATGGAAGACGTGACCAGACGTGTGTGGATGGATGACTCCAATCGAACCACACAAACCCCTCTGTCAGAAGTCAACTGGCTTCAGTATAGTGTAGATTGAGTGATAGAAATGTTTGATCTTTAATCAGCAAATGTGTAGCTTGAAAAGCAGATCAGTCAGAGTGGTACCCAACTATTTCACCGATGTGATATTGTACCATTCAAAGTTGCATTTCTTTCGCCAATTATCTGGCATTGACAGACCTCCCCTGATGCCGTCCGGCGACTCTCTTTCTTTCTTTCTTTCTTTCTTTCTCTCCATTTTCACATACACAAGTATCTCCCCATTTGTACATAAACTACACGAGCAAGTATACTAACACAAATGTATGTGCGACATGAGAACCCGTGACATAAATGTGATGCATTCAACCTGGTGACCAGGCTGGATGGTTCCAATGGTGGCCTATTTTGCAGTTCGATTTGCAGTCCAAACAAACCCAAACTTCGATATGGATAAAAAGGAATACAATAATCGCCAGCTGTTGAAAAGTGCCGCAAAGATTGCGGCACGCGCGTGCTCGTGATTTCCAGCCATTTGGTAATTTAGCTCGGTAGTCGAAGAAATGACTCATCATTTTGAACAAATCTGGGAGGGCAGTCGTGAAATTCTACTCGCTCTCGGTCATTTCTCTCTCTCACCAGATCATATAAATCCACTCGAGCTTGAATGGATAAGTTGGAAACATGGGTTTGCACAATGTATCCATGGTCATTTCGCTGCAATTTGTGACGAGAAAACAGTGTTTCAAGTTACTCGAACTCACCTGGATACCCTCCGCGTTAAACAGAGCTGAATGCTATCAGACGCGTCCCCGGGTTGTGGATAAGGGAATACCTTCACCGAACAAGGTTAGCTGTGAATAACTTGTGGTATACCGCAAAAAATAAGCAGTCGCGAACAAACAGCGGCGGCTCTACCAGGGCGCAGTGGGTTTCAGGCTGGTCACTTGGCTCCTATTTAAAGGCCGCATAAGCCGAATGGCGGTGTCGTAACAAAGGTCGATGTGACTGGCCTGTTAAGATTAAAGTCATTGGCCCGCTCACTTCCGAGGCGAGGGCCTACTTCCTGCTACCTTGCAGTTCGCACTTGGTTGCGCAAAGGCTAGAAGTGCACCCTCTAAATAAAAAAGTCGGGTGATGCTGGGGACATCTCTCGTACCAAACTCCCAAGGAACTCCATGAAATTGATCATGATCGTGTCTGGAGCCGGCTTATCTTTTCCAAGGAGCCAGCCGTAGTAACGTAACGTAACTTGAAATTACGCTATCAAGGTGTTACTTAATGTCATAAAGTTAGAAGTTTCTGGTTATGAAAACTCCCGGTTCTTTCGGCAACTGCATTGCCGTGAGCGAATTACAGACAAGTAATTGAGGAGATGGATCTTTGTCGCAGACAGTTATTTGGTACTATTGAAGTTAGCCATGGGATAACAAAACACGACACTTATCCACAAAAACAGGTCACATAATGTGCACAAGCTGGACTTCTATCATTTCACACCTTTGTGTGATAAATAGCAGACAGGTTGAAACACAGTGTACAACCTAAGCCCCCAGGATTCGGAATGTCTAACCACATAAGGCCCCATTCGGTTAGACGTGGTAAACTACCCGGGGATCAACGACACCGTTTGTTCTCCTCGGTCGTTTACAGCCCACAAACCGAAGCTTATTAATTCGTACAACCAGTCAACACAAACGCACATAACCAGTGATCCAATCGAATGAAATTGCAGACCTATCGGGATCACCGTTTGGCATCATGAAGAAATCCGGTATACCCACCTACGGTAAGCGTTATCGAGTATCTCTGACATCTTGATGACAGAAGTATGGGTTGTAGAATCACGTTCGTCGAACAGAATACGGAGAAAATAAACTCATGCGATATACACTAGTTCTTGTAGGCTATGGAACGAGGAACTCTAGCGGATGCATTTTGTCTATCCCGCTAAACAAGGACACAAATATGATGTAACCAACAGATTTACATTCAAGGCTAACTCTACTTAGGCCTAATCCCGATCGTTACCCGTCCTAGCGGGCTTTGGATTGAGAACGGCTATATCCGAAAGTGACAATTAGATGGAAAATTGTACAACAACACCACATTTATACGGTGGATTTCGTCATTAAAGGAGCAGATGAAGCGTGAACTGAAAAGCTAAGAAGCATAGAACAGATGTTTCAACCTGATTGGGTCTCATCAGAATCGTTGGACTCAACTGGAGGTCAAACACAGGACCCACTTGACAAGCGAGCAACCATTCAGACAGCTTTTAATTTTCCTGATGAGACCCAATCAGATCGAAAT